TTATTTTATTTTATTTTATTTTATTTTATTTTATTTTATTTTATTTTTTTCCAGATTTTAGGAGCAGGGAACTGAAATGAATCTTCACCTTGTTTAGTTCTGACTTTGTTTTGCTCGTCTTCCTTTTGGATTTCCATTTGCAAGTTTCAGAAACAAAACAAAAAAAATGCATGTTTGAGTTCGATGGAGATTTTTATTCAAATAAAGGTAGTAATCAAGACTAAATCTGGGGTCTTGAGGAGAAAAAACAGAGTTCACATTATGGTCAGGCAGCTCTCAGGACGTCTAGTCAGGACGAAGAAACCTACTATAAGGAAAAGGCTGACACTAGAGGGGGTTTTCTTCTGAATTGTGAGATGTAAATCTGTCGAGAGGATGTTGGTTAATTCGTAGAAATTCTGGGCGAGGAGACAAATTAAAATATTACCAAAATACACACATTATCTGCTGAGATAAAATGGAACAAAATGCCCGGATGGATTTGTATGTGTGTTGAGTTCAGGTGGTTCAAGCAGAACTGCAACATCCCCGGTTTTAAGAGAATAATCATCTCATTGGTGATGACGGAGTTCAGACCGTTCTCAGTTTTCCCATTTGTGTGTTATTCCGGCTCACCTTTTACACGGGTGATGCATGGTGAACAATTCTTGGAAGTAACGCTGCTAAAAATATTTTCAGCTGAATTTTCAAATTGACCTTTGTTTGAAAAACAAAAGAGGAACATTTGAGTCGCGTTTCAGTAGATATAGACGACAGTTGAGCTATTTTTTGCACATTGTACGCAAACTGTTTCCCTAAAACTGAGATAAAACTTACTTTCACACACATGTGAAAGGACGATGTACCATGTGATGTGGCCATAAATGGTCCTGTTTTATAAGCAGAGGCAGAAACAGATCGTCCCAAAGCCGTTTCCAGCTCTGCTTGCCAGCCTGAAACATGAAAAAAGCAGCAAAAGGTCACCAGTCTGTCACCACTGCCCCCCCCCCACATGTGCGTCTGTCACCCCAGGACTCGTATTGATTGTGAAACCACTGACTTGTAGACCCATCGGGACCTGCTGAGATTTTGAATCGTCTAGCGGATTTTTTTGTTCAAAACTTTTGCTTGAGTTAGCGAAAATAAAGGCCAGCTTTGCTCAATCAGATTAATCAGTTCAGCAATCTCTGATTAGTCATTATCTCCGACAGAACGTGGACGTGGAAATCTTTAACCGAGCAAAATTAAAAACCCTGACTTTAGGAAAAGAGGATTACACAAACACCGAAAATGTACAAACGCCAACATATTGAACTGCCATTACCAGCTGTTTAATGTGCTGAGGACAACAGAAAAAAGAGAAATCAAGATGTATTCATCATATTTAACCAGTATGACACACTCCGGAGATTCAGAGCACACTCACATGTGGAAATGACCCCACTTCACCACAAGATAGATACCAAATGATCAACTACTTCCACAATAAATCATTGACCCTTGATGCTTTTAAATTAAACTGCACGGCGTCATCAGAAGCAAAGATCACTCGTAATGGAACAAAGTGAGTGCCTGAAGGGCTTTTTCTTCATCAAGTAAAGACCACAGGTAGATGTGTTACATGCAGGGACCTGTCCTTTTGTTTCTGGTTCCCTTCACTATGTTGCAACCAACAAGCCTCACGCAATAACAAACATTAATCACACGGCTTCACTTGCAGAAACAGGAGTTCTTCTCATTTAAAAGGAAGGGAAACAATGGCTGTAAAGTGAAGGCAACATTGGCATGAGGTGACCAAACCTCATGGATGCTCAGTTTAACACACACACACACACACATAC